CTTTGATTTTTTTCTGTTTTTTATTGTTTCTGTTGGGTTTTCCCGTTTGTGAAGCACAGAATTAGATGCATAGAGATAATAACTGATTCAAGGGTTAATAGCGGAGGTAGGGGTAGGGGGTGGGAGATAAAAGGGTGAGGGGGTTGGGAGAGCAAACAATGTATGCTGGAGGGACTGGAGGGATGAGGGAGCACTAGAACTGATGGTGCTTACAATTCATTTTAAAAGCGATCTAACCATTAAAAATGTTCTAAAATTGATTGTGGTAATGATTGTACAATTCTTGATATGATTGAACTATTGTATGATATGTGGATTATGTACCAGTAAAACAGTAACAAACAAACAAACAAACAAAAGAATGATGTTGGTGCTCGGATCTCCATCTGGAGTGTGACTGCATCATATTCATAGGTCACGTTGGGAACCACTGACATTTTCAGTGTTAAGTGTGCCCCTCCATGCCCATGGCACATTCTCCCACTTATATAGGTCTCTTTGGCTTGTTATAGAAGTGGTTTGTAATTTTCTTTGTACATGTCTCTTGTATTCCTAAGTATTTTATCTTCCGTGTGGCTATTGTGAATAGTATGGCCTTCCTAATTTCCTTTTCCGAGCTCTCTTCATTAGTATACAGGAATCGGACTCATTTTTGCATGATCATGTACCTGCCCCACTGCTGAATCTTGCTCTGTCTATAATTATCTCATCCGCAAATAGAGAGCCACACTCCTTGCTGGCAGACTTTCTTGGTTGCCTCTCAGGGTGCATGCTTTCCTGAAAGAAGCTACTGTGTTGGAGAGACCCTTCCGATAAAGCACTAAGGGTGGCTTCCCACCTACTGCTTGAGGGAACCAAGGTCATGGGTCCATTAGCCCATGAGCAACTGAATCTTACCAATCACACGAGTGAGCTGGAAACCGGAGCTTTTTCACTGGACAACAGCTTAAGTGACTACATCTCCTGACGAGACTCCTTTGCCACCTGTACTTTACAGTTACATAGTCCAGTTTTCTAATAAACACGCAAGAACAATTATTCAAGTGGACACATACTTCTAGGTAATAAAGAGTCTTAAGCAAATCTCAAGAATCTGATATCATAAGAGACGACAATGTGTCTCAAATGTTAGAAGTAATAACAAAAATATATGCGTGCTAGATGCAGTGCTGGCAGACTGATTCTGACTCATGGCAGCGCCGTGTATTACAGAGCAGAACTGGGCCACAAGGTTTTTTGGTCTGTTTTCTTCTCAGAATCAGACTGCCAGACCTTTCTTCCATGCTGCTACTGAGGTTTCAAACAGCCTATCTTTTAGGCTAGTGTAGCCAAATGTGTGTAGTCAGAGGTCTCTTTGGATGTAACACAGCACATACTGGTATTTGTACTATGTTATTTTCTCTACTGTCCAGTTCTGTCTAGGCCCAAGGAGCCCTGGTGGGATAGAGGGCTAGCATTGGGCTACTAATCACAATGTTGGTGGTTCAAATCCACCAGTCACTACTCAGGAGAAAGATGAGGCTGTCTGCTCCCTTAAAGAATGATAGTTTTGTAAACCCAATGAGGGGGAAAGATAAGGCTGACTAATCTTGTAAAGAGTTAGAGTCTCAAAAACCCATACGGGCAGTTTTATCCTGCCCTATAAGGTTGCTATGAGTCGGAATCAACTCAATGGTAGTGAGTTTTAATTTTTAATTTACACCCTATGAGGGTCTGTAGGTATCTAGGACCTTCTAACGTGACTCCTTGCAGAGCAGTTGACAGTGGGCTATGTACATCAGCCAGATCTGCTGGTATTAAGGTCTTGCAAGCTGAGGTTTGAATGGTTCATGTGTTAGTCTGGGTAGACTACAGAAACAGATTCATAGAGACATTCATATGTGTATAACAAAGAGTTTTATATATAAGAGCAGTTGAATATTGAGAAAACTTCCCAGCCCAGTCCAGATCAAGTCCATAAGTCCAATATTAGCCTATATGTCCGCTACCAATCTATAAAGTCCTCTTCAGACTCACGAAACACATGCAATGACACAAAATGCAGGAAGACCACAGGCCAGTGGGTAGGAAGTCTTGTGGATACCATGGCATTGTAAGCATCTCAGCGCTGGCAGGGTCTCCACGTGGATCCTCCAGTCCAGAGGTCTGACTCCATCAGCCTCTCTCCATGTGTCTTCTCCACAGGGATGTCTCGCAGGAAGTGAGCCAAGAGAGAGAGGGTCTCCCACCTCCAAGGAGGAAATACAGGTGCTCCCAGAATCCTCAGGAGAAAGCCATGCCCTCACAGAGGCTTTATTGGCTATATCCTGATTGACAGGCTAGACTCCATCCCTATACTCTTAATCATCAAATTGATACCCGATTATGTAACTACCACAGTCCAATAGTCCACTGGACTCTTTCCATTCATCTTTGATTTTCTTCACTCTTATACCTTCTAGATGGACAGTTGTAAGTCAGATAGTCAAGCATGAGCTTTTAAGACTCTGTAAACCCTAGAACCATAATGATCATCAATGAATAGGGACACATGTAGAGGCCCCAACCCATAGCACAGACACATTATCAAACATAAGAAGCAGCACACACACCAGAAGATCAAGTCCATGACTGAGACCCCCTAAAAACAAGACATGTCTGTGGCCCCCAAGATTTCATCAGGAGAGTAACAAGGAAATCCAAATCCATATACCAAAAAATATTTTTGGCCATGACATATCAGACAAGCGTGTAATCTCTAAAATCTATAGAAAACCTCAACATCTGAACCAAAAAAAGATGAATAGTCGGATTAAAAAATGGACAGAGGCATGAACTGACAGTTTACCTGTCAGGGTAGCCAGCCCCTAACAAATCATCACAGGCCTGGCAGGCACAATCGTACAGAGATAATAAGTAAAGAGTATAGTAAAATCATAGAAAAATAGAGGAGATAGAAGAGAGATTGAAATAATAGAGTCAGATACATTTCATGGTAGCATGCTCACCTCAGCTTCTCTTGATCATACAGGGCAGGAGAGAGGGGGAGGGGAAGGAGGACAAGGGGAGAGGGGACAGAGGAGGGGACAGTGGAGGGACGATGGTGGGGGTTGGGGGCGGGGAGAAGGAGGACAGGGAGGGAGAGGACTGGGGAGAGAGGACTGGGAGAGAATCAGGGGGAGAGAAAACGGTTTATTACTAACCAAGGCTTATATATTTTGGGGGGGGGCATGCAAGGGGGACGATCTAGGGGTATACAGGCAACAGGAAGGGGAGGGATTGGGGTATACATGTGACAAGAAGGGCAGATCCTAGATTCAGGATGGCAGCCTAACTTTGGATGTCACTGAGCAGGTTTGACCTGTTCTCTGGCTCTCCATGGAAACTATTATGATACTTATCAGTAGGGAGAGAGTCTCACCTACAGTGGATTAGTCTGATGTCTGAATGCCTTCGGGGAGAATATCTCTAAGCATCTGACCTCTCATCATGTGCTGGCAAACAGTCTCTAATGTTTGGCATATCTCTGGGGAGACAAAGCTGGGGAAAGTCTTTTGTATCCCACATTTACCAAAGAAGACCTTCAGGTGACCAGCAAATATAGAGATGCTTCTGATCATTCGCCATCTGAAATAGGCATTCAAAATAACATTCAAAATAACCTCACCCTAGCAAAGTTCAAAAAAGACCCCAAACAACAGATGCTGGGGTGGGGTATGGAGAGATGGGAACCCTTATACATCGATGGTGGGACTGTAAAGCAGTCCAGCCACTGTGGAAAGTGGCATGACACATCCTCAAATGACTCCGAAAAAGAATTCCATGTGACCCAGCCATGTGCTCCTTGCTATGTCACACTTTCGCATGCTAGGAGACCTAGGCTTGGAATTTCGATCTTCAGCTTCCTCTAAGAAAGTCACAAACACTTTGCCTCTCCGCTGTTTCCTCATCTGCAAAAGCACGAGCACAGTGTTCTCCACATGGTTTATATCACTCAGTACTGATTAAAGACATGAAAATAGGTACAAAGTGGCTGTGATCATTGAATGAGACTCTTATTGTCAAAGTTCCGAAAAGTTCTTCACAAACACTTGGTGACTGGCAGCTTTGTGCTGGGTGCTGCAGTTCTAAGACCCAAACATCTCCATTCTTGGTGAGTGACAGCCTCCGAGCTGTAAAACATATGTGTGAGAGAACAGGCAACACTGTGAAGCTGAGAGTAGGTGCTCCAATAAATACAGAGTCTGAATTTTTCTTGCCCTTTGCATTTACAAAGCACTTCCATGAACATTATCGCATGTGAAGCAACGGATACATTTAAGTTTTCAAGAGAAAGCAAAGGGGCTGTGAGCTCAGCAAAGGGATAATCTTCCTGTGGGATGAACAGAGCAAGGGGGGATTTGAGATGGTGCTATGTAGTGATCTGAGGGTCTCCTAGCTGTCGTCTTTGTAACGGTCACCAAATGACTGAGTCGGACCACGCAAACAGAGTGTCTGGAGCTCTGGCGCGGGGATTGGTCAGCTTTATTGTCCCACGAGGTGCAAATGAACAATCTCAGGAGCAGGAACATGGTCTCATGACTCTCAGAAAGAGAAGCATGAGCAGAGTATGTTCTTTAGACCCTGTGCTTCCTGGGCTGAACAGTTTTTGATCCAGAGGACAGAGAGCTGTGACCAGAGATGTGGCGGCACAGTGGAGGCAGTGGTGGCAACAGTAGATCCAAAAGCACGAATGGAGTGGCATACTTTCAGGGCCACTTAGCTATTTGCCCACCCAGGGAGCTGTAGCTGATTGCCTTCCTTCGGGTGGAGCCTTGTGGCAGAGTGGCATCCCTTTGGGGAACTTAATGGCACTAAAGTAGCTTTATAACAGCATCTGGCTAAGTAAGCAGGGGAGAGGTCAAGGGCTGAGGGACCAAGAAACGCAGAACACCGTGCCTGTGGGCATGACTGAGAAGAGCTGCTTCTGAGTCCCAGAGTAATGAACTACCCCGCCAACTTCCCTGATAAATCCTGTAATCATGAATACTGCTGGCGAGTTCTGTGTGACCATTACACAGCCTATGGTAGCCAGCAGAGAAGCAGAGCGCTGGGATAGCAAGGGCTGGTGTCATGGAGCGGGCAGAACAAGGTTAGAGGTGAAGGCGTGTCTGACTTCTGCCTCCTTGGAATCTTCCTGGACTGACTGGTGTTGGAATCTCCTTCCCCTTTGCATGACTGGAGGAGGTCAGATGCCGCCTCTGGGCCATTTTCACAGAGGGGTTCAAAATAGGGGTGGATTTTACTGGGAGTGAAAGTTGCAGTGCTGGAAGCTCAGAGTTGGTGCTCCGCAAACAGAGCATCTCTCGATTGCACTTCCCATTTACAAAGCATTGCCATGAATCTCAGTGCACTGGCAGAGCAGATCCACTGAGTTCTACCAGAAACACAGAGGCCAAAGCGTGTCTTTAGCAGCTGCATCTTCTTTTTTGATCTGTACTCATGAACCCTTTGTGGGCCAATCTCCTTTGGAATTCAGCTGATTATAAAGATCTGTCCTCTTTGAAATCAGTCCTTACTTCACCTGTGAAAATCTGGAGAACATCCCCAACACCCCCCACCCCATCTTTCATTTCCATGCACATGCTTTACGGATTCTGGTAACAAATGGAAGTTACAGGAGAACATTCATCTTTCTTTCAAAAAATATTTATTATTCGTTTTGTTTCACCTTTACCCTCATGCAACTATTTCTTGAAATGGGATGAGCATTGGACTGCTAACTTCAAGGTTGGTGGTTCAAAACCCAAGGGAGAAATATGAGGCTGTCTGCTCCCATAAAGACTTACAGTCTCTGATACCCTATAAGGGGGGGCTGATTCAAAATCAACTCAACAGCGGAGGCTTCCCTGGGTGTTTGACTATGCTACCCAGGAGCCCTGGGGGTTCAAATGGCTAATTGGTTAGATGTAACTAAAATGGTTAGCAGTTTGAACCCACTAGCCACTCGGTGGGTGCAAAGACCTCCCTATCTGCTCCTGTTAAGACCACAGTCTGGGAAACCCTATGTGGCAAGGCCCTATTAGGCCACCTATGTGGGAAATCGACTGAATCACATGTGGTAGTTACATAATTTCTTGTCCACTTGAAGATATAGAAAAGTGTAGGGGTGGTATTCAACTTGTCAGTCAGGTCACAGTCTGATGGTGCTTCTTGTGAGAGTGGCCTTCTCATACGAAACCTCTCCCACTCTCTCTCCCTTTACCTTCCTGCTTGCTGGTCAACCAGAGACCTGCTGGAGTCCTGCCAGGTTTCCACCGACCTTGGATTCACATGGAATCGCATGTACGGGCCCCTGATCTTCCTGCATTCTGCATCATCGCATGTGGCTGTGTGAGAATGAAGAGGCACTTAAGGACTTCAGTTGGTCTCAGCTGGGCTGTTCTCTTGATACAAAACCATTTCTTAATATAAAGCTCTTTCTTATACATAAATGAGTGTCACTGAATTTTTTCTCTAGCCAACCTGGCCTAATACACCACAATCCTACAAAGCAGAGAGCTGTCAATACAACCTTTGAGCCACAAGCTGTGTTGCTATAGGAAGGCTGAGAGAAGAGGGGCCATCTCAATGGTTTTTCAGTGTGCTTTACACCATTCACTCAGATGACCTTCGAAGTTTGACCTTATTATATATATATTTAGGACCTTCCCTTCAGAATTAGGAGCCCCGGTGGTACAGTGGTGAGTGCCTGGCTGCTAACAAAGACTGGAACCCACCAGCTGCTCCGCGGGAAGAGGTGGAAGTCTGCCTCCCTCAAAGGTGTGCGGCTTCAGGAATGCTCTGGGCAGTTCGACCCTGCCCTAAAGAGCCACGGGAGTCAGAATGAAGTCAATGGCAGTGGATTTGGTTCTTTAGAATTCTTTGTCAGGGTTTGCTGTGCCCTTTCCAACTTTAAGGTCTTTCTCCCGATCCTAAGATTGAGGTAGTTTCAGAGCGAATGCCCTCTTTCTGTCATCATTTTCAGTAGACACCATACCCCCTCTAGAGACTACTTACATTCAAACTTGCTCTAGTTAGTGGTTCTCAACCCTCCTAAGGCCTCAACCCTTTCATACAGTTCCTCATGTTGTGGTGACCCCAACCATAAAATTATTTTTGTTGCTACTTCATCACTGTCATTTTGCTACTGTTATGAATCGTAATGTAAATATCTGATATGCAGGACGTATTAGGCGATCTCAGTGAAAGGGTTGTTCGACCTTGGCCAAAGGGGTCTTGGCCCACAGGTTGAGAACCGCTGATTAAAAAAGTCCTGGGGCCGTGGTAGCCTAGTACATTATATGTTGAGTTGCAAACCGCGGTTCAGCAGACGAAGCCCATCAGGCTCACTGGAGAAGGATTGACAGTCTTGGAAACCCACAGAGGTAGCTCTGTGCTATGAGTGCTATGAGCGAGAATCGGCTTGCTGGCAGTGAGATGCTGTGTAACACCCATTTGTAACATCTGCTTGACTCCGACCTTTATGGAAAGAGGTTATAAATCATTGCTGTGACGCACCCCACTATGCCTAAGCTGCCTCTCAGAATGACCCTGAGAGATGGGCTATCTTATCCTGTTTCAGAATTGTGGAAACTTTGATGCGCTCAGAACATTTATCCAAGGTCTGGGCGCTGTGTAGTGGTGGACCTTGGATTTCAACACTGCTATTTCTGACCACAAAGCCCATGCATATTAACACCGATAAAGTACATTTTAAAATCCAACGTTCTAGTTTTTGTGAAAAACTTAAAAAAAAATCTCAGTTCATCAAAAAGCTTCCAATGACTTCTCTCAGACTGACAGTCGGAGTCTAGATTACCTATCCTTTCCAGGATTCCCAATTTTATTATGATCATTTATATATTTACATTCATAAGTAGACTTCTGTGTATAATTGCTATTTTGAAATTTTTGACTTTCCCTTCCTCCTATCTTTGACAATGCCCAGAATTCCCCCTGTACGAATTTTATCTGACTTCTAAACAAACAAAAAACCTTCACCACTATCCACCCGATTTTGACTCACAGCGACCTTAGCGGACAGAGCCGAACTGCCACTGTGAGTTTCACGACTGAAATCTTCAGGGGGCGCAGAAAGCCGCCTCTATCTCCTGCGCTCTGACACGTCCAACTTGTTTAACACACAGGGCAGCACAGCAAAGTGGTTTAGAGAACACACTGGAGGTTGTTGTATACTACCTTCCCAGCAGACCACCTACCTCTTCCAAATGTATTGTTTCTGAGTGGCAGCGATTGACGGTGAAAAAGCAGAACACAATATGATTTTGTTCTGATGATACCTGATCCCTGATCCCTTGTTTACCTTCAAGCCTTTAAGACCCCTGACGCTATATCTTTTGATAGCCGGGCACCACCAGG